AGTTAGTGAGGGAAAGAGTTAGTCACAGAAAGAGGTAGCAAAGAAAGAGTTCGTCAGGGAAAGAGTTAGTCAAAGAAAGAGTTAGTCAAAGAAACAGTTAGTCAGGGAACGAGTTAGTCAAAGAAAGAGTTAGTCAGGGAAAGAGTTAGTCAAAGAAAGAGTCAGTGAGGGAAAGAGTTAGTCAAAGAAAGAGTTAGTGAGGGAAAGAGTCAGTCAAAGAAAGAGTTAGTGAGGGAAAGAGTTAGTCAAAGAAAGAGTTAGTCAGGATATATGAGGTAGTCAAAGAAAGAGTTTGCAAAGAAACAAGTTAGTCAAAGAAAGAGTTAGTGAGAAAAAGAGTTAGTCACAGAAAGAGTTAGCAAAGAAATTGTTCCCTCACTGTAAATGGCATTGCAAGTGGTGCTGGTGGAGGAGTTGCCGATGGAGTTTTGGAAGAAGTCTCGCACGAAATGCGTTTTTGAGAGATAGCAGATGCACGAAACCCTATGTTTTTCCATACAAAGTCCGTCCCCGAACCTCGATGATCTACCTCTGCGGTGCGACGGTTGCGAGACGGTCTCGTGTGTGGTCGGATCATGGTCGGATCGGTCTCGGATCATGGTCGGATCATGCTCGGATCGGTTCCGCATTGTAAATGGGGTTTCAACTGCTTTTCGTGCATGTGTGGTCGACAGAATTCCATTGTGATTTGCAACTGTAGGATCGTTCCCGCATTGTAAATGGGGTTGCAAGTGGTGCTGGTGGATGAGTTGCCGATGGAATTCCATTTTGATTTGCAACTCTAGGATCGTTCCCTCACTGTAAATGGGATTGCAAGTGGTGCTGGTGGAGGACTTGCCGATGGAGTTTTGCAGAAAGTCTCGCACTAAATGCGTTTTTGAGAGATAGCAGATGCACGAAACCCTATGTTTTTCCATACAAAGTCCGTCCCCGAACCTCGATGATCTACCTCTGCGGTGCGACGGTTGCGAGACGGTCTCGTGTGTGGTCGGCTCATGCTCGGATCGGTCTCGGATCGGTTCCGCATTGTAAATGGGGTTTCAACTGTTTTTCGTGCATGTGTGGTTGACAGAATTCCATTGTGATCTGCAACTGTAGGATCGTTCCCGCAATGTAAATGGGATTGCAAGTGGTGCTGGTGGATGAGTTGCCGATGGAATTCCATTGTGATTTGCAACTCTAGGATCGTTCCCTCACTGTAAATGGGATTGCAAGTGGTGCTGGTGGAGGAGTTGCCGATGGAGTTTTGAAGGAAGTCTCGCACGAAATGCGTTTTTGAGAGATAGCAGATGCACGAAAGCCTATGTTTTTCCATACAAAGTCCGTCCCCGAACCTCGATGATCTACCTCTGCGGTGCGACGGTTGCGAGACGGTCTCGTGTGTGGTCGGATCGGTCTCGGATCATTCTCGGATCGGTCTCGGATCGGTTCCGCATTGTAAATGGGGTTTCAACTGTGTTTCGTGCATGTGCGGTCGACAGAATTCCATTGTGATTTGCAACTGTAGGATCGTTCCCGCAATGTAAATGGGATTGCAAGTGGTGCTGGTGGATGAGTTGCCGATGGAATTCCATTGTGATTTGCAACCGTAGAATCGTTCCCGCAGTGTAAATGGCTGCGTCAAGGTTGCTTCGTGCTGTGGCTGCATTCGTAATACTATTGTCTTTTGCAGCTGGACTTCGTAAATCGTATTGGAGTGGCTGCATGAAGGCTGCCACAGTGATTTGTCAGCAGATTTTCTCCATTTTGGCGCTAATGATTTTCCTTCTAAAAATCCTTTAAAAAAGTGCTTCAAAATCGTTTTTTTTTTCGCTCTGGCATCGAGATCCGGTTTTGGAGCTACAATTTCCGACGCCGTTGCGCGTAGTTCTATTGTGTTTTGCAACTCAGTCTCTGCAGATCGCATTGTAGTGGCTGCGTCAAGGTTGCTTCGTGCTGTGGCTGCATTCGTACTACTATTGTCTTTTGCAGCTGGACTTCGTAAATCGTATTGGAGTGGCTGCATGAAGGCTGCCACAGTGATTTGTCAGCAGATTTTCTCCATTTTGGCGCTAATGATTTTCCTTCTAAAAATCCTTTTAAAAAGTGCTTCAAAATCTTTTTTTTTTCGCTCTGGCGTCGAGATCCGGTTTTGGAGCTACAATTTCCGACGCCGTTGCGCGTAGTTCTATTGTGTTTTGCAACTCAGTCTCTGCAGATCGCATTGTAATGGCTGCGTCAAGGTTGCTTCGTGCTGTGGCTGCATTCGTAATACTATTGTCTTTTGCAGCTGGATCTCGTAAATCGTATTGGAGTTGCTGCATGAAGGCTGCGACAGTGATTTGTCAGCAGATTTTCTCCATTTTGGCGCTAGTGATTTTCCTTCTAAAAATCCTTTTAAAAAGTGCTTCAAAATCGTCTTTTTTTCGCTCTGGCGTCGAGATCCGGTTTTGGAGCTACAATTTCCGATGCCATTGCGCGTAGTTCTCTTGTGTTTTGCAACTCAGTCTCCGCAGATCGCATTGGAATGGCTGCGTCAAGGTTGCTTCTTGCTTTGGCTGCATGCGTAATGTCTTTTGCAGCTGGATCTCGTACATCGTCTTGGAGTGGCTGCATGAAGGCTGCGACATGGATTTGTTAGCAGATTTTCTCCATTTTGGCGCTAGTGTTTTTTTGTTGCACGTAGGTTTAGAGCAGTGTGAAGTGTGGGGCGTGAAGAGTGCAGTGTGAAGTGTGCAGTGTGAAGGAAGCAGTGGGAAGTGAGAAGTGTGAAGTGTGGAGTGTGAAGTTTAAGTTTGGAGTGCGAAGAGCGCAGTGTGAAGTGTGAAGTGTGAAGTGTGAGGTTTGGAGTGTGAAGGAAGCAGTGAGAAGTGTGAAGTGTGGACTGTGAAGTGTGAAGTGTGAGTGAAGTGTGGAGTGTGAAGTGCGAAGTGAGAAGTGTGAAGTGTGAAGTTTGGAGTGTGAAGTTTGGAGTGGGAAGGAAGCAGTGAGAAGTGAGAAGTGTGAAGTGTGGACTGTGAAGTGTGGAGTGTGAAGTGCGAAGTGAGAAGTGTGAAGTTTGGAGTGTGAAGGAAGCAGTGAGAAGTGAGTGTGAAGTGAGAAGTGTGAAATGTGGAGTGTGAAGTGTGAAGTGTGAAGTGCGAAGTGAGAAGTGTGGACTGTGAAGTGTGAAGTGTGAAGTGTGGACTGTGAAGTGTGAAGTGTGAAGTGTGGACTGTGAAGTGTGAAGTGTGAGTGTGAAGTGTGAAGTGTGAAGTGTGAGGTTTGGAGTGTGAAGGAAGCAGTGAGAAGTGAGAAGTGTGGAGTGTGAAGTTTGAAGTTTGGAGTGCGAAGAGTGCAGTGTGCAGTGTGAGGTGTGGAGTGTCGAGGGAAGGACACGGTCGGGACAGGTTGTCTTTGAACTATAGGTCATTTATGTTTGGGAAACTTCCGCCGCCGGCTTGCCCGGGTCTATGTTAGTTCATATGAGTGAGGGTTATGATAGTTATAGTTATTTCTGATTATGGTAACCCATAGTAGGAAAACCTATCAACTAACTGGTGTACTGATGTAAAATGAGATGGGATAGGGGTATTGGTCATGGCTCAGATGTTTTTTAGCCCAGAAAATAGTGAGTAACTTGGTTATACTTGGATAATAGCCAGCAATTGTGTACATACCAGAAGACTGCCTTTTACACAGCCAAGTTGACTTACAACTTGGTTAACCAGGGTGATTAGGGGATATAACTAGCTGGTTGGTGGTTTGGAACATGAATTTTATGACTTTCCATATATTGGGAATTTCATCATTCCAACTGGCGAACTCCATCATTTTTCAGAGGGGTAGGGCTCAACCACCAACCAGCTAGGTATAGTTACCATCTGGTTATTTAACAGTTCGCCATGGAAAATCACCTTGCTATTAATAGGTAAACCATCTATTTCTATGGGCCATCAATTAACCATGGCGAACTGTTAGTCATAACCAGAGGGTAATGGCTTTGCAAAGCAACCCAGAGCTGGGCGACCTGACCTCGACAAGGATTTTGCTCGTGGCAGATGGTCAAACGATAGACGATAGACGGGAAATGGACCATTGAGAATTTGGTATATCACCAGCAAAAAGAAGAAATGAGGCAGCAAAATAAAAAAGCGGTGGCCAGCAAACGTTGGAATTGTTATCAATACAAGGTGGTGCCCCATAGTTAGCTAAGTTGGTTTATAACTCCAATAACTATGGTTTATGGTACTTATAACTATAGTTAATGGGGTTTATAAGCCAACTTATAACTGAGGGGCACCACATTGTATTGTGGTCATGTTGGAATTATCCGTGTGATCCAAACGTTAATTCATTCAAAGGCAGAGGATGTGTAGTTTGTCAAAGATGGCAAAGCAGATGCCCCAAGAATTCGATCATATTACATTGGTTCACCGCCTAAATTGATAGATATCCCTATTTTGTTGGTTGGTTTGTCACAAAAGAACAATACACTCAAAAATAAAGATCACATCCCTCTGGTTTGTGTCTTAAAAGAAGGCCCCATCAACATGGTGATTTTGGTATCTTTAGGTATTCACCTGTAGCCATCCAGTCACGGATGGTCTGGTAGCTGGTCACATCGTTAGGCCAAGGGTTTTCCTAAAATGAGGTTACCCCCAAGTCATCCATTTATAGATGGATTTTCCATAACAAAAACCATCCATTGTGGAGAAGATACAACCTCCCCATTTCAGGAAAGCCTCATACAGTTCTATATATTGCCTGGTAATAACCCCATCTCTTGGTTTAGTCACAACTACCAACTTGTGCAGAGTGAGCTGTTAAAAACCATCAGCTGCAATCCTTTTATATTCATCCCCAAAAGGATGGCTAAGAGTAGATGAATAAAGTAGTAGGGGGTTATTACTCTATTTTATACAGGGGATGACTGCATGATTACCATCGTATGTAAAGGTAAACTAATTTTGCTGCTCTATAAATTCATGGATATTCAGCCATGTTGGATAATCAAATTTCAGTTCAGTGCCCATTTTGGCCACTCCCCCAATACCCCTATTTTCGTGGTTGTTGATTGTTAACAGCCCCTTCGTACCTCTACCCCCAACATGGTTGGTTCCATACCCCGATGCTTGTTGGTTAAAGAATATTTCTTTGCCAAAACAAGAGTTGTCTCTATTCCCTTATATTCCAGTACTGGTTGGAGGTTTGGAACATGAATTTTATGACTTTCCATCCCAACTGACAAACTTCATCATTTTTCAGGGGGTAGGTATACCACCAAGCAGATATTAACCATCATTGACCATTAATATTAACCATTAATATTAACCACCAAGCAGATATTAATATTCCCATGATCCATTGGTGTCCTCGTATGATATCCCTCAGTCAGCCCTAATCGTTGGGGGCTAAATCCTCATGACCAGATGCTTGTGCCGGAACGACCAGAACTTGTGGAGGCCGTGGTGGGTTGGTTGATAGAATAGCCAGCCATGGGGGAATGGAGCTTAGTGAATATGGTTGATCTTACTGGTGCTAAACGTAGGGAATGGATGGGTTGCTGGGGGTTGCTGGGGGTTGCTGGGGGTTGCTGGGATGATTATTACTAGTGATCATGGATCATTCCCGACAATTCCCTGCTAAGCACCAGTAAGTACATAGTGTGGAGATGGTCAGCTTTAATTCGTCCTTAACTCCGAAGTTTGTGAAATACACTTCCTTTGGTCTTATCCAACAAAATAATCGTGTATAGAATCTGTGAAAAATTGGCTATGAATCAAAGACGAATCGAACTGGATATTCATCAATGGCTATATGGTGGCTAAATCTACAATACCTCGCGGAAACATTGTCAAACTGCCTGGAATCATAGCTACAACCAGGAAATCCCTTTGGTTTACTGTAATCGGTTCTTTAATGGAAAATTGATGGATATGGCAGATAAAACCATTTCTGGGGTGCCATACTTTTGAACACCCTGTGGTGATGATATCTGGGCAACATGTCCATAGTTCAATGGCAATCCCCCATGGTTCAGCCACAAATCCAGTGTCAGGATGACGTGTTGTCACCAACTCAGCGCACCCTGAGTGATGTGGAAGCAACGCCAGGCCAAAGGGGGCCGTGCTGATCTGAAATCCACCAAACAGTGGCAAACCTAACCATCCAGCAGGCTCCAACCATCATTTTCAGAATTTAGGGGGTATATTCCCACATATGTCCACTTTTTTGAGGTTAACCCATGTTTTGGAGCTTGGGATCCCTACATGAATAGACCCTGATTGGAAAAGAAACACCGGGCTTCTTCCATGAAATTCACATCCCACCTGTGACATCCCAGCCATATTTGACATCAATAGAGATATAGCTTGATAGAACCTATTCATACCCCATGGTTTAATATGCATTAGTATCGCTATTAGTACTCAGCAAAATACGCACCCCAACCATGTATATGTATATATACATATTATATATATACATATATATATGTTATAAGCCATATTTGATGACCAAGAAATAAGTTTTATGTTGTTCATATCCCTATGTTTTGTCACTTCTATAGCCCGCTAGCCATGACTACCTACCCCACCATGGCATTGCCTTTAAGAGGCGATGTCGCAGCTGAGACGTGCCACTGGGAACAGCGTCGGTGGTACCAGCAGCTGGTAACTATCCAAAAAAGCTATGTTAATGAGATGTACAATGTGGTGCCCCTCAGTTATAAGTTGGTTTATAACCCCCATTAACTATAGTTATATCTACCAAAAACCATAGTTATTGGAGTTATAAACCAACTTAGCTAACTATGGGGCACCACCTTGTACAATGGGATATATAGCTTTTACAACTATGGGATGTATATATAATTATATATATATGTGGATATAATCAAATGTTTTTTGGGATATAACGATTGAAGTAAACATTTGTCTGGGGATGATGGCGATTTCATGGAATATTTCATGGAATATTAATGGAACCATTTGCCTGGAGTTGCTGAGTCTATGATTTTGGGCATTTTCCCAATGGGAAATCCACTACTTGCGGAATCTTGTCTAAGAATGTGCTTTCTTTTTGGGATCCCAAACAGATCCAAACAGCAAATCCGTTGGACTGTCAGGACCTCACAAGGGCCCACAATTCCTGCGTTGGTCAACTCAAAATCTTAAGCTCTGCATGCCTTTGATTGCTTCTAATTGCCCATTTCTGTCAGCTATATCACCCCATTACCCAGTTGGCTGCCGATCACTTATGTCTGATTTGTTGATTATCTGTGGCTGTGATTCAAACGATTACCCATGGACACATCAATAAGTACAAATATTCATATTTACACACGGGAAGGGCACCGCAGTTGAAAGTTGATCTTCAACCCATTAGTAAGTAGTTCGATATGTCCACCGTAAATCCAAGCGTTATGATGATGAAATAAGCCAACAAACAGCCATGGTTTGGGGCCCCTTCCACCATTATACTCCCCTTTTTTCAAGATGATCTTACTACCATGTTCATCAGGACTACAATATACCCATTAATTGGGGTCAATAAAAATTTGCTTCAATAGGGATTGGAACATCTCAATGAAACATGGCAATTGGAAAATCTGCCATTGTTGGGATCACTTTCCCAGCTATAAACATGGCAATTTCGGGCATTTCCCAGCCGAGTCACCGAGTCACCGGGTCACCGGCGTCGAGGTCCTGCACCGAGCACGCCGCAAAGGGTCGAGCCGACGGAGCCCACGGAGCCGGACTGGGTTGGCAGATGGATCTGGGAGAAGCTATTGCTGAACATCTTTATGGTGGTTGAATAGAAAAACCATAGGAAAACCATTGGAAAATGGTGGTTTAAAGACTTTTTTATGGTGGTTTAATGGGATTGAATGGGACTTACCCTCTGGTAAACATACAAGAAACTATGGAAAATCACCTTTTTTTAATGGGGAAAACTCACTATTTCTATGGCAATTTTCAGTAGTTATGTTAGTTTACCAAAGGGTAATGGCAGATATCATTAATAAATGAATGGCTATTGAGAATAATGATGAATTGGTGATTAATGGATGGTATTATGAACTAATCCGAGTTCTGCCATTAATGATCATTAACCCGTTGATATTAATGTGTATAATGAATGTTCTGTCCTGATTTGCCTATGCCCCCCCTTCCCGCAAACAAGAGCTATACCTTATTTAATGTTGAGTGTCGAGAAGCTGCTCCCAAGAAAAGACAGCGCTCCCGCATGATCCTGCATGTAAGTAAGTATCTTAATTGGCGACAACTGAAATCTAATTGATACATTTTTTTGGCCGATGAACTTGTGATACTTGTAGTACTTGTAGTACTTCCGGTACTTGTATCGAATGGGGTTCAGCATGTTAGTTGATTGCGCTACCTTTTCCACCTTAAGTTTCTTTATTAAAGGCGTAATAAGAGAAAGAGGAAGAACAAGAGACGGAAATAAAGAGAAAGAACAAGAGAGAGAGAGATAGAGAGAGAGAGAGAAAGAGAAAAAGAGGAAGAGAGAAAGAGAAAGAGAGAAAGAGAGAAAGAGAGAGAGAGAGAAAGAGAGAAAGAGAGAAAGAGAGAAAGAGAAATCGGGGTTGCTGGGGGTTACATCTGCTGGCCATGGGGGGCCCAATGGTTCGATCACCCTTTCTATTATGCCAACGACCTTCCAAAATCAGGATCATTTGCATTTGATTCCGCATGCACTCACGCTGTCCGATGTTTGTTTAATGCGTTAAAGAAGGTACCCTCTGGTATTCCAATCCTTTGATACTCCCTTGTTTACACATAGAGAGAGAGAGAGAGGAGTTGCATGCCCATGTAGTGTTTCTCACTAAAGGATGATCGAACATAAGCCCTGAAAAGGACGAAAGTCACTTTGGATTGTTTTGGATCAGCGCTTGGCAGACAAGCAAGATTTTTTCAAAAAAAATGTTAAGTTTGGTTTTTTTTACGCAAAGATTTTTTTTGACAAAAAATGGTCTGCCAAAACTTCTTGCCGCAATATTAAACCTTCCAAAGATTACATGGGTTCGAATAAGTTGGCGATTTTTGGCCACAAATAGCGAACGTAGCTACTCATCAGGATGCCACATGGAAGATCATTAACTTAACTATCAATAACTAATATACATCATAAGTATCACTAACAATCATTAATGGCAGATACTAATGGCGATTAGGCCATCAATGCTGGTGATAAGCTTAATGGCCTGATTAATCAAAGGAAGTTTCGTTAGAAAACTTCCGACTTACGGACGATTGTCACTGCCAGCATTCTCACCATCATGTCAATCACATCATCATGTCAACCAACCACATCATCATCAAGTAGTTGGGAAGTGTAACAGGTCGGGAACGCATGAATTTAGGTTTGAAAAGATTCTCGGGCACGAAACCCAGCGTTTTGTTCGGGTAAAGTGGCTTCCCGGGTCTCTGTTGCCGCGGTTGCGGGCTTCGATCTGCAAAAGTTGTCGACAAAAAGTGCACAGGACTGTAGGGAGAGCTCGGTTTGCACTTGAAAATGTTAAAAGACTGTCAGGGTCGGACCACTTTTGGACCATGAGGTCGACAAAATGTGCACGAGACTGTAGCGCGAGCTCGATTTCACATAAAACTCGTTAAAAAAACAACTGGGGCGTCCGAAGCTGGTTTGGAAGATGAGGCCGGCAAAATGTGCACAAGCCTGTAGCGAGAGCTCGGTTCCACATAAAAATCGTAAAAAACTGAGGGTGTCAGAGCACATTTGAAAGATGAGGTTGGCAAATTTCGTTGATTCACTCAATCATTCATTTCAGGCAGTCATTCATTCATTCATTTCTTCATTTATTCACTTCATTCCTTACATGTCATTTCATTTCATTCATCTCATTTCATTTCATTTCATGTCAATTCACTTGTTTCCAGATCACCAAATATTTCCTATAAGCAAACTGGTTCCTATAGCCATGCCCTGTTTTCGAAACTTCCACCCCTGCGCATCCGGGCACTACCAGGTAGCTAATGTATGTGTATGTGGGTTCATGATACTAGGTTAATGGTATATAAAAACATTTCTTATCATAATCCATTGCTGGATAGCCCATGATGTGGGAGTATAATTAGCCAATAATTGGTGTACTGGATGTAGAATGGTTTACAAGAAACCTAGCATCAGAAAAGTTACAGATACATGAGGATAGTTAGATGGGCGCATCGCAGTTTGAAAGCCAACTCGAGGTTTATTGTGAGTGGGTTCCCTTCTGGCAATCTAAACAATTACATGAGGATAATTAGATGCGCGCATCCCAGTTTAAAAGCCAACTCGGGGTTTATTGCGACTGGGTTTTCCTTCTGGCAATCAAAGATAACTCTGGAAAATGGCCATGTTTCATGGGCAAGTCACCTACACATGAGTAATGTTCAATGGCTACTTTGAATCACCAGAGGGTACCAACAGCTTGCAACCATGGTTACAATCCAATTACAACATAGGTCGTTGGCCATGGATTGGTTATAGTTTTGACACCCACAATTCGTAGAATGGGGTAGAATGGGATGATTAATTTTTGGTTTTATCACATTATAAACACAATACACCATAGCATACATGGGTAATATGCAACCATACTATACCCCAATTATACATAGAACATCTCCCATATGTGGTTCATGAACACGTTATCCTTGTGTCACTTCCAGTCACCTCGCAGGAAAGCTTTCCTGAGACCGTGCCCGATTCACCGCGCGACGAAGTTGCGCCTCCAGCGGAGCCTCCAACGGAGCTTTCTGAGGCAGCCCAGGCGAAGCGATGGACTGATTTAATGGAGTTTAACCATCAAAAATTGTGATTTTATGGGGTTGAACCATAAAAAGATTGTGATTTCATGGGATATGTATACGTTTGTTTAGGGGTGTCCTAAAGAAATTTGTAACAATAAAATATCGCCAAGTTGGGTTTACTATTGGGTAATACGGTATACCCCTGGTAATGGGATGGTGTAAAAGGACCCTTTGATGGATGGCTACACATTATCTATCCGTACGGAAACCCCTTAGTACCCTCTGTAGCGGAGTATTTATAATGGTGGTATTTTGCTGGATATTTTATGGCAACATAGTGAGATGTACATGGATGTACAACGTATACAACCAACGACCATGATCTGGCCAACCCCAACAAGCATCTATAAATGGCTATAAATTGTGGTATAGAACCAACCATAGCATTTATGAAGGGAGATCAAGAGTTTTGGGGTTGGGCGTATTAAACATCAACAATCACTATTTTGCGGGTTTATTGAGCAGCTATTGGAGGGGGCACCTTTGGATGCAAAAAGGGTCTTTCGATAAGTGATAGACATGGTTGGTTTCACACCTTCATCCAAAGTAAATAGATGTATAATTTATTGCACTGCTATGGCATGCTACGGGGTTTTCACTTCTTTGATAAGTAACAATCGTTAGTAAGCAAATGGCAGTGATAAACCTTCAAAGCTCGAATATTGGAAGAATCCCTGTAAGTTCTCGCGGCCTCACTGGCCAACTTCACTAGAAAAATATGCTTAGGATTGGGCAGAATCATCTCCAAAATTGTTGTTTCAAGTCTTGAAGGGTCCAAAGTGGTGCCATCCATTGTTTTTGTACTTTCCATGATTTCTCTCCAAAATTTCCACTGTTCTTGCAAATGATACGGGTTTGTCAAAAAAAAACTACCTTCCAACCCCATTGGTTCATCATCATTTTCCCGACGAAATTGGCACTTTGATTTAGCAAATGTATATCCCGTTTTATTCCCCAATTGTCACCATTTAAATATGGCAGTGTGTCAAAACCTTGTACCCCTGGTGAACATCAAAATAGCTGGGTTAAAATGGATGTGAATAACCCACTAAAAATGCTATGAAAATAGGTATTGACCCATAGCCATATACCCCATGTTCCGACAGCTAGCCCCTTTTCCCGCCAGGCTGAGCCCGGCACATCGCCGAACAACCGCGGCTCGCCGCACTCGCTCTTCGGCTACGCCACAATGCTGTTGGGCCTGCAGGGCACCGAATGAGTCAAGCGACCCGTGGGGACAGCGGCTAGTTTTCGAACAAATATGGCAACATGGATGGTAAATGGCTGATCAATTGTGATGACATTGAGTCTTCAGAACATGTCGGAACTAGTGGTACCACTGGGAATACATGCGCAAGAGTTTTGCCACTTTTTTCATACGTTCAACGGAAAGATGCCAGTGAAGATATGTAAAGATCTCATGTGAATCCTGCTGGCCCAGTCGCAGATGCTTTCGGCCACATCCAGATAGGATTTCACGGCGGTCGACCCAAAGATTTCTGCAGTTTAATTCGATCGATGATACGTGGGGTGCGCAGCGATGCAAAAAGAATGGCTTGGAAATATGGTTCTGCACATGCAGAGGTTCTAAGAACCAAGTGTTGTTGCCACACTTCTTGAGTGAAACTGTGAAGAACATGTGCACTTTTCACATCAATTTCAATCCTCTCCCGGTTTCAGTCGCATGTTTCTCCAAGTTGCTGGTTAAACACACATTTCCGTCCAGGTTTGATGGTGAAACCACCAGTTTTGACAGGGAAAGCATGTTTCATCACCGAATTCACCAGGCCTTGGAGCCCTTGCCCAAAGCACAAAGCCGCAGCCCCTCTCAGGTGGGCGAAGATTTGGTGTGGTGAATTTCATTGTGGTAAACCATACCTGAGTGATATGTGGGTTTGTTTGCACATTATGGCAAAAAACTGAATCCTAGTGGTTTAGCACCATTGTCGCTATGAAACAGCAATTTTGGGGAGATAACCCATTTTCAGACCCATCCATGTATGTTCAACACCGGTTTTCTTGATACGCCTTGGAAGATTGGGTGATCAGAAGCGGTTCGAATTGAGGAGAAAAAAATCTGTATCGGTTTGTAGGGCAATTTGAAAAGAGTTACGTTTTTGTTGGCTGTACGGCATCAAAAGAAATTCCCTTGGAATTTACAGGTAGGAGAAACCCTGGTTTTCTGCCAGTGTTGACTTGAACGAAGCCAGTGACCAAGATCGTTTCATGCTGTTGTAACTACATCTTGCACCACTGTCAGTAGGATGGGAGAGGCTTTCCATGTGACAGTGCCACATGCGTTCCGATTGGAACCGCACGGAACGCACTGATAGTGATCCAACAAGCCGCATTGACTTCAGCTCGGATAAGCAGTGCTCCAGACCCCCAGTGGTTGATACCTATAACACGTTATATTATTTGGTGTCATAGGTATTTGTACAATCATCATCCAATTTGAAAACCAGGTAGCTCATGGTACTCGTTTGTGTCATTAGGTAGTTCATAATTGTAGCTTGATAATATCCCACTAGCTGAAATAATCACTAACCAACCATCACTAATCCATCATATCCACATGTTTGATGGTTTACCGGTCATAACCAGGTACCTTTCTGCAAACTAATCTAGGTGTGGTGTTTACCCACCATGTGTAGATTCTTTTCCGAACGGGAAACCATGGGGGTTCCACATCCATGCAAGTTTACCCTAGGGTGAATCATCATCAAATTTGTTAATTTGTTCGGCCGTCTGGTGATGACGATCAAAACTCCAGGAACGGCGTGCCCATGAAGGAGCAGTGGAGGTGGGGATTCAACAGATTCCAGCGTGGCAAATTGGGTGTTTCTGAGAATGGATTATACACCCCAATGATAGCAATATTAATACGGAAAATGATGAGAAACAATGGGATTTGGATCTTTTGGGGGGTAATGTAAATTCTTCAAGTAGAGCAAGTTGATGGATTCAGAGAGTTTTCAGGTTCCATACCTGAAGATGACGGTTTGAAGCCTGGTTTCAGGCGAGACATCGACGGAAAGTGGACCAGCTTCAGTTGCTTCCTCAGATTGGCTAGGGCAGCCTGCAAACATCACTGGTTTTTTCCGGTCGAAAGTTGACCATGAAATAGCGGTGCATCAAGTGAGAGGTCAGATCAGGTCAGCCAGATTGACATACGAGGGTCTTTGGGTGATAAAACACACCATGTGCAGTCCATGATGAAGGTTCACTGTCTATTTGTCAAACCTGGCAATGGAAATTCCCTAGCTTATGGCTGATTGTCCTCTATGTCCTTTAGAAAAAAAGTCAATTTCCGTCGGTTTCCCCAAGCCAGATCCGAGTGTACATCCTCAGACCCTAAAAGGTCACACACGGAGCCAGGGCTCTGGCTCACTGACCCTAGCTCCCCCCATCAGTCGGTCCACCAAGGGCGCAGCTCTTCCAGTCGCAAGAGGTCACTTTGGGAGTTCAATTCGGGGCTCGCTTCATTTGTGATTTGTTTTGTTTCATGTCACTTTAGCCAGCGTCATGTCATTGAATTTTTTCGTTCATGTGTCTCCATTGATAATCCCTTGTCATGTGTCATTTGTCATCCATCATCATCCATCATCATCATCATCATCCATCATCATCATCATCATCCATCATCATCATCATCATCATCATCATCATCCATCATCATCATCATCATCATCATCACCATCATCGTCATCATCATTGTCGTCGTCATCATCATCATCATCATCATCATCATAATTTTGATAAACATTGTTCATCATGATCTTCTTCATCATCCTTATCCTCATCCTCATCCTCCCCCTTTCTTGTCATCAAAAACGAGTAAGAACCAGCCACCAATCCCAATCAAAATCACATATTTCCTGCAGCCGTGGCACAGGACCGTGCCCGTCTGGAGCGCGAGTTGGAAGCTCTGCGTAGCGAGGAGTGGCTGAAGGGGGTGTTTAAGCTGGGTAAAAGTCGGCTTTTGGAGGGGAATTCTAGTTGCTACCCGAATAAGAGTCGACTTGCTGCTTAGAAACCATGTTGGGATTGTTTATCAATTCCAAAGTAAACTTAATCGAAAATATTTGATGTGAGCTGGTAGTTTGCAGTACCATGAAGCTAGTGACATCGTGACATGGACGCACGTGGATCCCAGTGAATCTTAGTGAATCCTAGGATCTAAAGGAGCCAAGGTAGAACAACTATGGGGATATAGGTAGAACTAGAAAAATCTGGTTGACCACAATTTCAGACTGGGATAAGGATCATGGATTGAAAATGATTTGGCCAAGTATTCGGTCCCAAGATAAGTAGCATAGAACTGCTGTCCGCAATCCTCGGGAGGAGCACCAGCGACAGGAGGAGAACCCCAGGCAGCTGGTTACAGCTCTGGTTGGAAGTGTTGCTTGGTGAGTGGTAGGTGAACGGAGTACTTCTATGTTTTAAGCAATGTTTGACGAAAGCCAAATAGCCTAGAAATAAGTTTCACTTGTTGAGTTCCCAGGATGTTCAACGAACGCTTCAACTTCAAACGGGTTATTCAAGTTTCGTCATGACGGGGAAAGGTGGACGGAATCTCTAACTGAGATATGTGAGCCTTCTGCGGGGGTTAATATGGAGTTGACCATGTTGCTGCATGATCACATCAGACCCTCATCACAGTCTTCCAGGGACAAGTAGACTGCTGAAATCTCAATTGTGAGATATGCAGCAGCCGGTTAGTACTAGGATTATAATTTACATAGCCCACTTATAAATGAGAACACATCATTTACGGCATTTACATGCAATTACAACTTATGGTTGATGACCAGCTACCAACTGGGACGAACATCCTAAGCCCTAAGCAGGCCTCTCCATGTCTTGCTGTCCATTGGCGACCAAGCGCCTCCGCTGGTGAAGGACGTTGGGGGCGTTGGGTCTAACAGTAGAGCCACCGTGGTTCCCTGTAGAAGATGGTTAGTGGTTATGGGAATGTGGTTATGGGAACCTCACACCATCAAGAACCAGGTGGCTATGGGAAGTACAAAAAATGAAGATGGTTATTCCTTTATGGTTTATGCGGTTTTGGGAATCGCCTCAAACTCATAAAGAACCTCTTCTACCCTTTTGTTCAGGTTTGTGAAGTACAAAAAACTCATGAGCGGTTTCGCTTTTTATCTCAATGGTTTTGATGATGTTCGGGAGGCCATCAAGGGATATAATATACCCTCTGGTAATCCAATACAGCTATAGCTAAAATGGCCCATCCATAGCAGATTTACGTATTGTCAATGGTGATTTTGGAAATGTTAGTTTGCTGGAATTGGTATAAATTCAGCTTAAGGAATCCATTTAGATGATCCAGATGCGTTAATGTCTCCCATCCTGAAGTCTTGCCCCCTTCGACCACATAGGAACTGAAGTTGGAAGTGAAAGGCACCAGAGAGGCACAGTTTTGGGGCCGGAGAAACCTTGATGAATTGATATGGCGCAAAAACTGGTTGGTGGTTTGGAACATGTTTTATTTTCCACAATATATGGGATAATCCTTCCCATTGACTAATATTTTTCAAGGTGGTTAAAACCACCAACCAGAAAAACTGTTGAATGGTTAGTTCCTGAATGTCGTGTCGTTGTACCATGTTGTACCATCTTCATAGCCTTCATAGCTCAACTCCACATGGTAAAGGATAGCGGCAGGGACCGGGGGGAAGCATGGAGAACTTCACCCTGCAGTTTCTCTATTGGCAAATTGGAGGATATGTTCACCACCTCCGTTTTGGAGATGATGTGAGTATATGCAATTTTTATGGATATTTTCAGCTCTTCTACAGTTGATAAAATCCAGCCAGATGTGGATGGTACACATGTCCAGCCTTGAAGCCCATGCTGTTTGCCAGCTCCGGGATAAAATCTATTCGCTGGAATCAGAGCTGGAGACTTACAAGCGGCGCTTGGAGGCCAGTTGGAGAGGGGAGGTGGACAATGAATGTTGGCTTAAGAATGGACCATCCATTCCAAAATGCCCATTGAAACCTCAGATGTGTGTTTTTTAGATCTTGTTGGAACGGGGGGATTGGGGTAGGGCCCATACTTCCAAAAAATGGATGCCAGGTGGACGTCCGACAACAGCTGGAGAAGGCCTTGGGGCAAGTCTGGGTTTCCTCGGATCTGTGAGGTTTGTCCAAACATGGAGCATCCCCAAAATCCAAAAGTGTAGCATGGTTTATCTTTAAT